TGATCCTCTGCTAAGAGGAGTCATTTCCAAGATGAGATTTTAAAGTCGTTGAGCCTCTGTTGAGATGAGCTTTTTTCAAGATTTTAAAGTCGTTGAGCCTCTGCTGAGATGAGTCTTTTTCAAGATTTTAAAATTGTTGAGCGAGCCTTTTTCAAGATTTTAAAGTTGTTGAACCTCTGTTGAGAGGAGCCTTTTTCCAAATGAGATTTTAAAGTCGTTGAGCCTCTGCTGAGAGGAGCCTTTTTCAAGATTTTAAAATTGTTGAGCCTCTGCTGAGATGAGCTCTTTTCCAAATGAGATTTTAAAGTCGTTGAGCCTCTGCTGATAGGAGTCTTTTTCAAGATTTTAAAGTTGTTGAGCCTCTGCTGAAAGGGGCCCTTTTCCAAACGAGATTTCAAAGTTGTTGAGCTTCTGCTGAGAGGAACCTTTTTCAAGATAAAATTTTTAAAGTTGTTGAGCCTCTGCTAAGAGGAGTCTTTTTTAGATTTTAAATTCCCAAAAGTTGTTGAGCCTCAAGTGAGAGGAGCATTTTCGATTAAAAAAAATCGTTTAGATTTCGAACAAAATTGTTGTCTTTGTCTTTATCCTATTACTAATTATCAGTAATGTGCAAAGAAGGATAGCTGTAGACATCAATTTATCTATAATAAATAAATAAATATATAATATAAGTATAAAATATGAAATACAATAAAAAAATATGAAATAATATAAAAAAATGAAAAAAAAAAACAGAACAGAATAGAAAAATCGAGGATGGCAGTGGTGCCATCCCCGGCACCACTGCCACCACCCATGTCACCAGACCCTACACCCCACTCTTCTGATCACTATACCCTACCCTCTACCCCTTTAATTACTCCTTCCGTTGACAAAACTGTCGGATATGGCCAAAACTAATAAAAGAGGCATGGAGCTCGTGCTTACACTAGTGTCGAGCCCCATGCCCTTCCCCCTAAACACACATAGCCTCCTAGCGAAGCCAAAAAAGAGGAGAAAAAAAAAAAGAGACGTTGTAAAAAAAATGAAAAAAAATACATAAAAAATACATAGTCCTCCTGTAGGGAGGAACCCAGCGCCTAGAGCTTCCTGCACAAAGAAAAAAAAGTGGTCAGTTTCATAAAAAGAAAAAGAGTCAGAATACACAAAAAAATAACCTCACCAAAACTTTGAAAGCAGATCTAGGGAAGTGAAGACTCTTTTTGGTGAAAAAGAAGTCAGATATGTGCTCAAGGGCTCGAGAGGAGTTTGTGAGAGTTTTTTTTTAAATTTCCAACAACCGGCTATGGTGGTCGGAGATCATTGCCGGTGAAGACCACGACGGCCGTCACGACGGACGGCCACCGGCACTAGGTCAGGTTGAAAAAAAAACCAAAAGAAGAAGGATATTTTTTTTTCGAAGGAGGAAAGAATGAATGGAAAATTTTTTTTTTGCTCTTTTATATAAATCATCAGAACCAAAACGACGTTGTTTCATTAAAGGCCCAAAATGACGCCGTTTAGGCCAAGGAGGATTCTCGCATCAACCCGCAACCCGACCCGACGACCCACTTCTCCATCAGCCTCTGACCGGTCTGACTGGACCTGAATCAAATCGCCTAGATCGAGTCAAATCGGTACTGAACTGCCCAAACCCAGCCGAACTGCCAGAACAAACCGTTGAGCCAAACCGCAGGTTGACTGGACCGTTGACCGATCTGGTTCAGGTAAAAAAATTTTTTTTTTTGAATTTTTCTTGTTTTTTATATGTTATTTTCTTAATATTTATGCATATTAAAATAATTATATTTGTTAGATTAAGTGATGAAATATGTTGTTAAATTTTTTATAATTTTGTTAATTTTTAAAATAAACTTTAAAAACAAAATAATATATATAAAAATAAATTTAATAATAATACTAAACTAATAAAAAATGTAAGAAAAAGAAATTTTTATCCGACGATGAGATTTAAAGGTATTCCGAGTAGTGATGCCTACGAAATCTCTAGGTGAGAAGAATTTTTGTAAAATATTACCAATGTGTTGAAATATTTATAGAAAATCTTCAATATAATAAAATTTTCATTTTTCTTCAAATTTTTAAATAAAAATTTCTTTTTTTTAAATAATAAATAAAAATTGATTAATATATTAAAAATAAGTAATAAAAATGAGAAGAAAAGAAATTTAATCCAATGATGAGATTCTAAAAGTATTCCGAGTAGAGATACTTTAAGAAATTTCTAGGTGAGAAGATTTTTTATAAAATATTACCACCGTATTGAAATATTTATAGAAAATCTTCAATATAATTAAATTTTTTTTTTTTTCAAAATTTCAATATGAATATTAATAAAATAATTAATAAAATTTTTAACAAATGAGAGTAAAATGTGTGCATAAACATGGTAATATTTTGCATTACATGCATGACATTTTTTACGAAAAATAAATTTGAGCCTCCGAGGATGAGATTCTAAGGTATTCCGAGAAGCGATGCCTAAGAAATCTCTATGTGAGAAAAAGTTCTTTTAATGTTACCAACGTACTGAAATATTTTAAGAATTATTTCAATAAAAAAGATTTTAATTTATTTTTCTCGAGAATAATTTTTTTTTCTAATAAATAAAAAATCAAGGAAATTATTTTTTTCGAACACCGAAAATTAGATTATTTTTATCAAAATCCAATGATAACACATTGTTAATTGGTACCATTTTTAACGGGCGTTATGAGGGTGCTAATCATTTTTCACACGTAACCGACTCCTAAACCCAGACTGTTTCACAGATTGAAAAATTATCTTTTTTAATAAATTTTAATTAATTTTAAAATTTTATTAAAATGATATGTTTTAATAGGTGGCTAATTACACCTAATCAAAAAAGATTAGTGACGACTCTATTTTTTTTATTTCGTTTTCAAATTCGTCGGACGAACACAAAACCGTTACAACAATGTCAAATTGTGAATTTTGTGAAAATGGGACTTAATATTAATTTTAAAAAATAAAAAATTTTGTATTTTCCGATATTTTAAATTTTAATTCAATGAACGGAATTTGTTGTTATTGACAAAGTGACAGAGGGTGAGTATAAACTATAAAAGCATAAATTATACTTATCAAAATTTTATATAAAATTCATATTTACAAATAGAAAATTTTTATATAATTTTTTATTATAATTAAATAATATTATAAAATTTTAATAAAAAATTATAAACAAAATGCTCCCATATCTGACCCTATATATTTTAATTTTATTTTGGTTCATTTTTCGTCTCGTTCTCTCTCTCGCTCTGATGATAATTTTTGTTGTTTTGTTGCCCCAAGGATGCAAAGCCGGTCGCTAAAAGGACTGTGAGCAAAAGTGATCACTTAATTTTTAAAAAAATAATAATGTTACGCTTTGCGAAAAAAAATAGCCAACATTTGAATTATCCAATTTCATATATCTAATTTCTGGCAAGTTGAACTTACAGTGAGTCTTATGCCAACTTGTTTTAACGGCACTCGCTCGCATTAGTTGCCGGATTCTGGGTTTTTGGTTTTAGAGGCCGCCAGATTTTGGAGTTGCAAGGATAAAAGAGGGAGCAATAGTTAGAGAGAGGTGTATGACAATTTAAGAAAAAAAATATTTGGATATTATCACGTCTCGCGTCAATAAATTTTTTATAAAAAATATAATATATTAAAATATTAAATTTTAAAAATTAAAATTTTTTAATTTATATTAATTACAAAAATTAATTAAATTAAATTTTATATTCATGCTTTAATAAGTTAACATCAAAGGCATTAACAACTAAGAAACAAATTTTCTTAAGGATCAAATTTCAAAGATTTATTTTTTAATTATTCTATAATTTAGTACTTTCTTTTTCCTTTTTTAATTCTTAATGGGGTGTGGCATCAGTAAACTTTTTTTTTTAGAAAATGTGGCATTAGCAAAATTAAATGGGTAGAGGATAAAAAAAAAAAAAAAGAGATGCGGAAAAGAGCGGAACATTAAAACATAGGCACATTTTGAAATTCTTGTAATGAACTTCAATAAGTGCATGGAGAGTGGCGGTGCCAAGGAAACGTGGATCGCGAGTTTACAGGGCATTTGAAATATATCGATTAATAGTAATTAAATAAATTGTCGGCATGATGTTTTTGTTTTTTTTTTTTTTTAATTATTGAAATTATTGCGTTCGAAATAATTGAATTTGAAAAGAAAGCAATCAGAAGAGGTATTTTATGTTGTCAAAATTTAAAATTTAATTTTTATCATAATTTATATAAATTAGTTTTTATATTATTTTAATTAGATAATTTTAATTTAATTATTAATTTTATTAAATTTTCACTATTAAAAATATTAATGTGTTTATTAATTTGATGATATAAGTATTGATTTTATTGACATGATATTAATTTTAATAACGTATCAATTTAAATAAATAAAATTAATTATTAAATTATATAAATAATTGTTATATTCACATATACGATTTTTTTTCTTTAAATTAAAGTATTTTTATGGATTTAATTTAAATAAAAGTTGTAATATTTCAAGAAAAGCAAATGTTTATTAAAGGTATGTCTACTCTAAGTTCATTTAATTTTTTTTTTTTTTTTTAGGTATAAGAGGATTTTTTATTACATAAAAAGAATTAAATGTTATTTAGTGGAGTTCAATATTTAAATTTTATTTTTTTATTTTAAATGAAATTTATTAGAGTAATCAAATTTGATGTGCTTAATATATTTTAAAAATTTTATAATGACAAAATAAAACTCAGTGATCTATTTACAAATTAAGTAAAAATTAAAATTATATGAATTTAATTAATTGATGTGATTGAAAACATAGCAATACTTCCTAATTTTCAGGTGTTATTACTTGTTCCTATTTTTCTTGAACAATAAAGCCATAAAAAAACAAGTACTCGAAGACATCGTTGATGATGTGCCCATGGTAGATATATAAGAAAATTTAAGCTGCAAAAAGAAATGAAATAAGATCAAGAAAAAGCAAAGAAGTACGTTCCAAAGTCCAAGCTTCACAATTTGCAAGCATTTATTTTTAAACAAAACAGGGATAAAAGGTTCTTCCCATGGTTGGTATGCAAAAGCATGCATTATTCTATACAGTTCCAAGTTTCTGTTATAGCCATTTATGGACATGTTTCTTTCCCTTTCTTCAAGCCAAGAACTTTTCCAGTAAGTTTCCAAAGAAAAAGCTTGTTTTGGCCCATCCACTAGCCTCAGCCTCTGGTTGCTTGGCACTGGCTGGATCCTTCTTGACATTAAGCATCATTGTGTGTCCGATTTCTTTGCGAAGTGCTTCGATTGTCTTTGTATCTACTGGATTCCCATAAGCATCTCTCACATAGAAAACATTCACTGCCTGCTCCCCAACTGTTGACACTCCTGCTCTTCTAACTGACAGTCCATTCTCTCGGAGAATCCTCGTTACTTCGGACAACAAACCAACTCTATCCTTTGCACAAAGCTCCAGACTTAAACCCTGCATTTGTTGAATGCTATCTTAAATGACAGGACAGTAGATGTTTCTCAATAGAAATAGAATACTTTTTGTTTTTTCCTAAAGACTTGTCAATGGAAAAGGAAGACAGGAAGAAAAAGAAAAAACAATAGTAAATAAAAGGAGGGTTGTTTCCCTAAATTTACTGATCACCATGCTATGCTTGTTGAATTTTGAAGGCAAACAAAAAAAATTGAAGTTCATATAAGCTGACTTTGTCAACCACTGCTAAATTTGTAAACAAACTGTCAAGGCATACAAATTGTCAGTATCATTAAAAGGAGGATAGGAACTAAGCATTAAGATGTGTTTGGTGTATAAGACTATGATAGGATAGGATAAGATTATATTATAATTAGTATTAGATTAAATAATATTATACTATCTTGTTTTTTATATATGCAAGGATTATGATAGAATAAGTTATTTATTGGTCAAAATTATCCTTTCTCAAAGTTTATACAATTTAAATTGTTTATGTAATGTTTAAGAGTATAATAGGACATTTAAGTTCAATCTAACAGATTAAAAAAAATCCTCTCCACTTTGAAAAGATTTGAATCATCCCATGTCAAGAAGATGATTAATCCTCTATACAATCCTATCCCTTTCTTTAGATACAAACCAAATATGGTATAGGATGATTATCATCCTATCCTATCAATAATCCCATGCATCAAACATGACTTTAGTTTACTAAATGGAAGATTTTACTGGTTACACAGTTTAATGGAATTTGGTTTTCCATGCACCTTTGCTACATCAATTTGCCAACTTTTTCAGATTAATTTTTAATTGGCTAAAGGTTTTCTCAGTCCTGCATTGAACTCGCCTTTTGCTTGTCCTGATCAGTTGCTTTGCTGTAGTTTGCTTACTGTTCAAACACATTATTTTGGTGTTCTATGTAGCTCAGCCACTTTTAATTGGTGTAAGATCCAAGCAGAAGTTAACCACTTGAATTCCAAGTAAAAAATTTTGTTATCCTCAAAGAATGAGTGGATCACGTTTTTCTCCTTATTTTACTAAATGAAAAGAAAGTGTCTTATACTCTTTCTCATGGGAAAGAGTTACAGAGCAGCATATATGCAATCATCAATAGCAAAGAACAGTAGTTCCAGGAATTTATATTGAATTCTGACTATAAACCTTAAGATGTCATGACCCTATTTTTCAATGTTCTTTTATCAAGTGATAAGAGACAGCTCCGGTCTCCAAAGTGGATTAGGGATGAAACTTACACTAACCAAAACAATATACTCTTTTACAAGAAATAACGGCTTTGTTTTCTAAGTAAATCATATCCTTCTGCATGAAATTTCTGAGCACTAAAAAAAACAGTTTAGACACTGCATTAGAGGAACATCAACAGCTATTTAACAGTTCAGATTAAAAGTTATGAGAATTTAGTGCAGCAGAATCATCTAGAAACACAATTTTTAGCCAAAAAACAAGAACACGCTTTCTATTTATGAAAAAAAAATTAATGGCTTAACATCAATAAAACATTTCAGTTAGACATACTACTCACCTCACTTACTCTTCTATGAATTGCAGCTTCTAGACATTTAATTACCCTTTCTTTCTCTCCTTCAGTATCAAGCGTGCAGCCATCCATGTGGCGAATAAAATATTCCTACAATTTGAATGCAATTAAGAAAATTTAAGCACATGTAATCAATCCAATACATTTTTTGAGTTAACAGAGTGATCAAAGAATGGATATCATTATCAAAAGTCTGCAATAAATGACTAAGCCATGAAAACTTAATTGGTATCAGTTTTTAATGTCATGTCAAGCTGTTTACTTGATCGAGTGCTTTTGCACTGTCCCAAAGAAAAACTAATAGTCCATTACAGTTACCTATCACCCTTCCCCGCTTTTCCCAAAGGTCATTATCAAATTGATGCTTATCAAATGTATATAACTGATTGATAAGACCACAGATCGTAGAAAAATGGAATTAAGTATTCGCATCTTCACTCATAAATATGATGTATATTAGTGACAAATTTGGCCATATACACTATTTTTGCATGTAATTTGGTTTCCAAGTCCATAAGCAAGCAAAATGGATCTTTTTATTTTTGGTAATTTGGGCATACTTAACTAGCAAAGTTTGCAAAATGATATTCCAGCGGAAGTACTTCTGGTCCTCTTTGAAAGGCTATGACAAGTGATGCGCGTACCTGTGAAGCATAGGGACCATTGGAAGAGATGGTGGCATGAAAAACCACATATTGCATGTCTGTGAGTGTGCAGACAATGTCAAACATGAGCTTAGCTCGATCTTTGCACCGGACACTAACCACCGAGTACCCCTTCTCCTCACAACGCTCGACTGTGATCTTTGGTTTGAAGGATGGAGGATAGTCAACCTCAGTTGTCACTCCACCACCTTCATAATCCCTGTCAGCAAACAGCATTTGATGAAGCCGCCGATCAATATGTGTGAATCCCATGGAGAAGCTCGTACGAGCCACTTTGTCATCCTCCTCACAGCCACGCATGATGTGCTTAAGCTGCTCCTCCATAATAGACAGTCTGTTTGGATCATCCACAGCACGACTTGTGGTATCATCATTGACATAGAGCACACACGCTATTCGTCTATTATGTGTCCACACTTCAGCAACAGCAACATTAAAGTGAAGGTTGGCGAGGACAGCAGAGATCTCTGATAAGAGACCAGGCCTGTCCCTTCCAATGAGTTCAATTGCGGTGTGATTACCAACAGAGTGCACCCCAACACGTTTTCCAGCGCAGTTTTTCATCCCATCTGTGGTGTGGCCCTTAGGTCCTAGAACCTATAGAAAGAAAAAGCAAATAAGACGTAATAGAAGTATAAAAGAAAGTGCACTCAATATGACAGATGGAAAATAATGGCAGGCCAGGATTGCTGAGACTTTATGGATGCATGACTTGGCAGTAGGCCTCACGAAGAGGGGAAAGAGAGGGAGAAATTCATCATTTTAGAAGTAGTACAATTTAGCAAAAGTTTGTCTGTTGGTTCCATAATGCATTTGTATGATGGTGCCCAAATGGAGAATTCAAATTTAGTACATAAAAGAAGATAAGTTCCAGAAGAAAAGATAGGGCATACCCTCTCTATGTAATCAATGGTTTTTCCATCAGTAATCTTTTTCCCTTGCTGATCAGTGACGTGAAACACTGTTTGCAAAGAAAAAAAAATGTAAAATACTCACTTGGTATTAGGAAGAGAGAAGGGGAGGTGGGGGTGGGAAAGGGACAAGGGACAAGGGGAAGGGAGGGAGGTTATAGGATAGGAACATAATGCTATTGTCCTGCTATAACCATATAAATTGATGCTTATCCATAACTGATGTGTTTAGAAGTAAAAACAAGAATGGAATTATTTTGATCAAAGGACAAACCTTTCTTTTCTTTGTATTTTTATTTATTATATCTATTCTATCCATTGAATAAGTGATGATCCAATAATTCTTACTCAAAGAATCTTTGGACTTAGTTTGAAGGTTTTATTGAATCATCGCGGTTCTGGTATGAATCTGAAGTTTCAATTGATTCATAGGGTCTTAACAAGAGAATTCCTATTAAAAATAAAGAAAACAAGAATAAAGCCACATTCCAAGCACATTCTGCCTTTTGTTGAACAAGGACCTTTTCTGGGAAAATTGTTAGTGAGATTAATATAGAAAAAATGCTCTATAGAATAACATAAAACACCAATAAATTTTAGTATATTCATACCATCCATGAACCATCCGCCATCAGAGGAGATGTAAGCTTTGGTGATAATGAAGTCAAGGTCTGTTAGTATTTGCACAACTTCCAGCAATATTCCAGGTTTATTCACGCTGTCAATCTATGCAATTAATGAATTAGCTTTGGCACTAAAAATGTTTGATAGCACCATGGAAGTTCAAAAGACGGTGAGGCATAAATTTTATTCGTATCGAAATTTACCTTCACAACAGTACAGTCAGTGCAACTAGTGTTATCCACAGACACCCTGCCGGAAAAGGTATGAAAAACAAAGAGTTATAACTATAGGAAGACGTGAACTGCTAATACAATAATGGCCTGTCCTCTTGAATAAAAAACTCATACCGCTAGAAAACAGTTTGGTAGCATAAAATTGATCAAAATGCAGATTTTAACAAACTGTAAATCCAAGGAACTATATTGACTCAATCATCAAGGTTGTTAAATCTAGTTGCTTGTTCTGGAACAAAAATTGATAACATTTCTTAAATAAAGCATATAGAGAAAGAAACAGAACCTTGGAGGATTGATTCTGACACTCAGGTTCTCATACTCAGGATCAAAGTATGGCCAACAAACTTTAGCCATTTAAACCACAGCTTCACAATAAACCAGATGTGTTTCTCTTTCTGTGCCACAGCAGACATAGGCTCAGTCACCGGGTCATATACATTAATTATTTATGAAAAAAATCTATCCTGCCTGCTCTTCCAAACTAATATTCACTAAACATGTAGATACAAGATAGTATGATTAGTCTATCAGCTAGAAACCTATGAAAATATTCCATAACCCAAATTAACTCCCTAAAACTAAAAGTATTGCAAGCCATCCAACAATGATGGGGGTGAACATCATGCATGAATTAGCTGATATTTGGCAAGACGCATGGCAAACAACTAAACCAATGTTATGTGTGGACACTTCATATCAAACTAGAAGTTAGGTACAATTCAAATGTTTCCAAAATTTTGTTTAATATGAACAAATAAATTTGGAAAGCTTAACAAGTTCTATATCAAACAGCTAGCGTGTATTGTAGGTGCAATTAAAGGAGCTGCAAATTACAATCATAGACAATAACTCTAACCTTTGCCCAAGAGAGGGGGAGAACTACCGTTTCCGAAGAAGACAAGAAAGGGCTTTTTGATGATTTAGCTTTTAGTCAAGGTAGCCTAATGTGGCAATCCCTTATTGATCAAAATCAGGCTCACATTATGGCAGAAAATATCTGCAAATAAAGTGCAGGATAAATAAATAAATAAATCTAATACATATTTACACAAATCTAGCACTACTAACAATTCAAAATCTTTATAGTATCATCATAGGGGCCTCTATCTATGTATAGTTCAGGAAAGATTACTTTATGACAATGCATTTTTCCTCCATTTTTGGCGATATGCTATAATGAATAAACCTTTACAAATTAACCTTTTTGATTGAGAAGTTCAAAATAAAAGAGGCGCTTCATTCCATGGTTATCCTCTATTTTTTTATACATGCCAAAATCTCATCGGCAAAGAAGATAAAAAAAGAATTTAGTGCAAGCTATGCATCAAAGCACTTAATACAGAACAAAGCCAACTAAGATTAACTTAATACCTTAACTACTACATACTGTAGGGAGTTCTCATGCTGCCGCTCAATAATTTTAAGTCGATCCATCATAACATGGATTTGTAACAGTTATATCTGACCTTTAAACTTGAAGTATCAATAAGAAAACCTCCAAGATATGAAACTTGGAATAAATCACAGCAAGTGGGAATACTCCAGTACTAAATTGGCCTTATGGTAAGGTATGGTAAAAAAGGAAAAGGATTCAAAGCCCAGTTCTCATCATCCAACTCTTTAGAAACTAATAACATGGAGGAAAATAAAATATTTTTTCTTGTAAAGAAGCCAAGAAAGCATTCTTGTTAAATCTCAGCTTGAAGAAAAAAAGATACCCTTCAATTTTCATTTTTCCCTATCAAATGCATAGCCTTGATATGGTTGGTTTGTTGTCACAAAAGGTGTAAAAAAAAAAATTGGCCCCACAGCCATGAGGTTGTGTGATCACAAGTAATACTACCAAGGAAAAAGCAAAGAACAAAATAAGGCCAAAACGACTTTGAATTGACGTAGGGATTTGATTCTTAACATTTACTTTTTCCTTATCATCCGTATCAGAACAGTCCATCTACTGCAACAAATTAGCAGCACCACCGCCGTCTTATCCAACTTATGTTACCAGACCCATCAATTCTAAAAATTTATCACTCTTCACTCATCACTCATCACTCATCAGTATACCAGAATTTTTTTTTTTTCAACCAACAATCAAAGCTTGAAAACTAAGACTGCTGCATAATTCATCCTACAACATACCAAAGAGAAGCTGTTTCCTTTATAAGAGTTCTATCTCAAAAGGAAAGAAAGAAAGCCGCTGAATATTGAAGGAAACCTGCAAATTCTTAGAAGAAACACACAAAAACAAATAGTCATCAAACTTTCCATTGAAACAAAGAGAATGGTGTAGAATTTTCATTTAAAGGAAACATGAAAGAATAAATGGAAACTACAACTAAGAAAAAAAACCAGCAGAGAAAAAAGATGACTTAACCGGAAAACAGAGCAAATTTATCTGTATTCGTATATGGTAAGCCAAACACGAACTCCATGCAGAAAAACCGAAGGAAAGAAGATTACACGTGTCAGAAGAAACGTTCAAAGGCAAAAATGGGTAAGTTACCTGGGAAAGTGCCTTCAAAATTTCATACAGCTTTGCTTCTTCTTCAATTCTTCACATTCCCTCTTGTATGCAGAAGCAGAAAAAGAAAACCTAAGAGAAAGCTCTTTTTTCTTGTTTCCTTCTTTTCCGTGAATGAATGAATCTTTTAAAGAAGAGATACTAGTCGTTTATCTATGCTTTTCTACGTTGGAATTCCACTTTCAAAAATACATGCTTCGCTTTCTCTGTCCCCAAACAAATCGATTTTTTTTTTTTTGTTGTGGGCAATGAAAGAGAGAGAGTGAGTGAGAGGATCACTTGAGAGTTGAGACAAAGATTGGGAGAGATGGAGTGGTGGTGGGATTTAAATATCGATTATTCAAATAAACAAAATGATTAAAAATTTCGTTAATTACTCAGGCATGACGCGGCGACCAAACACCTTGTTTTATTTTGGTGCAAGGACAAGTTTAAACCCACTCTCCTTTGTGCGCGTGACCGTGACATTACCCTTCTTACCTCCCTGCTTTTTATGTGGATGATTTTTTTTCTTTTTCCATTTTTAAAAATATTGAATCAGATCTTAAGAAAAAATTAAACTTTCAGCATCAAAATTCAAAACCAAATTAAAAATAAACTTTTATTATTATAATAATCATTTAATTGAAAAATCAAACCTTATACAATATAAACTTAATCTAAATTAAATTGGACATCTTTGTAAACGTTTGATCTAATATATAGATGAGTTTATTTATTATAAAAATAGAAGTCATATGTTAGATTTTAAAAATTTTTAATGCGTGTGGAAAGTATATTTAAGTCTTTATGCAAATTATAAATAAAATATTTTTCAAAAAATTATAAAAAAATATAATATTTCACATTGTTTTTTATTTTGTTTATTTTTTACTGAATTTATTTATTTATATTATAATTAATAAAAAAATATTTTTATGTTATTTATTTTTATTTAAAACTTGTGATTTAATTAATTAGTTAACTATTTTATTTGTTATTTATTAAAAATATACAAAATACTATCAAATAATTTTTTGTAACATTTTACAACATTTTTATTTTAAGCTTTTTCAATTTAATTTTTTTTTATTTATCTTGTATATCCTTAAGGAAAGTGAGAATAGAGACCGAAACGTGATTAATAAATTGTAAATAATTATAAAAAATTAAAATATTTGTTATAATATGATTAAGAGTAGTTTTAAATTTATTTGAGTTTAATTTTATAAATGATTTTAAAAACGGATTCACTAATATCATACATTTAAAATTTTATTTTTAAATATTTTTATAAAAATAAAATTTTTGTGGGTTTATAAATGTTTAGAAAGAAAAAGGCGCGTGATAATATTTAGTTAAGAAGGAGCGTGAAGTACTTATATGGGCACTGGGTCAGTGGGTCGTAGATACTGGCACTGTGCTGCACTGCCGGTGGCCATTGCTCCCCCTTTTCCATATGAAATCACAGAAAAAGCCCCAAACATTTTCAGAATAACTAAAATACCCTTCCTGGCATTGACCTGGCCTGGCCATAAACTACAATTCTAGACAGGAAAAATTTGGGACCGTTGATAATGCCATCGGGTGCTGCTGCCAAAGAAGGTGATGATGATGGGATGGTAAGGGTGAACGTGGCTTGTCCAGAATGTCTAATACCATGGGGCATAATAAAAAAAAAAAAAACTTTTGGAAGCATTCTTATTTCATGATTAAACAATGGTTTACACAAAAATGGGATGTAGGGCCCTTACTCAACTTGAAGTTCACACCATTAAAATTTGGCAAAATTCTCATCCTATTTAAAATCTCAAACACCAAGCTGATTTAGTTTATATGTACTGGGTTTCACTTTTTTTGTCTATTTTTTTTATGTTTTAAAATTATATCTTATTTTTTTAACATTTAAAATTCTTATCTTTTTATATTTTAAAATTATTTTTTATGATTTTTTTAAAATTTTTATTTAAAAAAAAATAAAGGGCTTTTTCTTTTTTTTTTTTACTAATATATAGTGTGTAAAAAGGTATTATGGTAATCTCACTATTTTAGAAAAGATAGCCTTTAAAAAAAAAAAGAGAGTCATAATTTAAAAATAAAAAAAATTAAATCTTTGCATTTTAATTTTTACTACGTTATTATCTTATTGTCTAATTATTTATGAGATATTGATTTGATTGTCAAAATGTGCTTGAGATTATAATCTCCGACGTTCTCTAATTATTTTTTTGTACGTGCATTTCAATTGAGACAAACTCCAATCTCAACGATACTCACAAAAGTATTGGAACCGGTACATAAAGAAAGTGAATTTTAAGAATATTTTTCATTTGTCTAGCGAGCTCTAATTAATCAGATAATTTTGGGATAAACAATTGATTCATACAGTTTAGCATTTTGAAAAGGAAAAAGAGCTTTCGGTGGTTGAATTACAGTTAAATAAATGGAGGCAACGCTACAGAAAAATGGATAAGCAATCAGAGGTGCAGGTGTGTGCAAATGAATCTCACTTTTCCAATTAATTAGAACCAAGAGAAACCGAATCCAATTCCGACCTGTAACTCATTTTAGAGCCTAAACGTCAATGGATTTTCACAATTTCATAGGTTTTCTAAAAGCATGCCTTTTTATCTTTGAGGAGGAATTGGGATCGCATGCCCCCTTTTTTTAAAAAAAAAAATTTGTTTTATCAGAATTTGATGTTTTTTGTTTGCTCGAAAAAGCCCACATTTGTTTAGTAGTTTGATTGAAATTAATTAATTAATTAGCTTTTGGGTTGGCATGATACCAGTCCTACAACATTTTTAATTAACTTTATTAATCCTTAATTAGTGGATGATTAGAGATAAATGATGCTGCAGAATCATCACAATCATGCTTTAATTTATGTCAAGTATCTCCATGTCTCTTTGGTTGAAACAAAGTCGTAATTGTGAAACTTTGATAAATCTTTAGTTGCCATTTCTCTTTAGATGGTCTAGATTTTGAAACAAGAAAATAAAACAGGAGAAAATATGTTTTTGCATGCATATGCATGATGGAGTTTATACCGAGGCTGGATTAATTAAAGGATAATTAAAATAGTATTTTAGAAAAGATTTTTACAATTCATATATTTTTGTGATCACCAAATTTAAGATGAGATAATACACTAATTATAATTTTTTTAAAAATATCACCTTAACTAGTATTATTAGCCACCGATTAACATTTTCATATGAGAGAACTTGCTCATGAGTACCCGTATTATACTTTTTAAGGCTATTATATTAAGTAATTTATTTCTTTAATGCATTGAAATTTAAAACATTAATTTTCGTCTGTTGACTACCATTTTTAATACAAAACATTACTATTAATAGTATTTTAACTAATTTTAAAAATACCCTTGCATGAGTTTTTTGCTACTGCCCATAAAACCTGCAGCTTTCCACATATTGCTTGAAGCCTTTTATGACTTGCTTTACAAATATGTTTAGCTTGTTTTGAAGCTCAATCAATTAATACTCTTGAGAAATCTTTTATACAACATATTGCCCACTTTTGTTAAACAAACAAGAACCAAAGTGGGATTTCTAAAAAATTTAGGAATTTGTCTTGTTTGGCTAGGAGTCAAGGCTCAATTAAAATCATTACAACAATCAAGTTCGTTGCTTATAGCTAGAATCACACTTTTGTTTCTTAATAACCTTTTATTTCCATACCTTTTAGAAACTTTACTAGTAGAGATAAGCTATCGTCCTTGTCTCTTATGCCGATTTTGGACACACTTAGTTTTTTTTTTATTTTATATTTTCTTTAGACATGAATTCTATTAGATAATGGTGATTTTTGTTGGTAAAGACATTGATTGGGATGTAATACCATTTATAACTGAAATAGAAGATTTTAATTGTCTATCCCACAATATTATGATGAATAATGCTATGTTAAATGAAGATGATAGCAATAGAAGAAGAAGAAGACATATTTAACACCAATGACAATTCAACCCTCTTAGTTAAAGATGCCTTCACAAGAAATGTCAAAAAAAAAAAAAAAAAAAACCTTCTCAAGATACAATAGGTCATGATCAGTATCGGACAAAACCTAATTCACATGGCAAGGTTTTTACTAAGTTATCTAGTTTGAGTTTTACTAATTTGGAAATTATCAGTATAAAATAATGAAAAGTTGTTCAACAATTTGAAGATTAAGGTGGAAAAATATTTTGAATCTTGAGAATAAAAAAAAAAAAAAAGGGGAGTGGTGAAACTTTGAGTACATGAGACAAACATTTTATGGAGGAGAAGAAAGGGAAAGCCTGTTAAAAAAAGTTTAATTATTGTATACTTGTTTTTTAGTTTTTAATTTTTTTTTAAATTTTAAAAAATAACATGATAAGAAAATACTAAAAATTGAAAAATAAGT